TCTGCGAGACATGTAGTAAATATTTTTCTTTTTTTAATTTAGGAATTTCGATAATGCTATAACTAATCGCTAGAAGAAACCATTTATGTACATGTGACCATACTTATTTTATTATATAGCTCATTTTAAAGAGGAGCGGGTTGTGTATGATAAGAAAATAACTTGTGTCAAAACCAAGCTAATTGGACAATGTTTTTGAGTAATACCTAAAACATATACTCATCATTTGAACATACAAAAAAGCAGTAAGTTCTGTTTTACGAAAGCCAAGTCTGTTTAACATTTTATTTACTGCCTTTACACTTGTTTTAATCTTTTCCATCTTTTTACATTAAAATAATGCAATATTTTAGCTGCTATTAATTTCGCACAGAAAAAGTAATCATTTGACCTAATGTGCATTGTTACAAATTACAAATTGTGTTTCATTAGCCGTGAAAAAATGTGCAGGTATTTTATCATTAGGCCAATTAGCGCACATCGGCATTCATTGTAAACATGTTACGATAATTATTAGTACAAATTACACAACATAGGAACTGTGTGCACCCAGAATAACTACTAGGCGCTTAGCTTTTCATACTAGCAATCGTACCATTTTAAATGATATCTTAACTATATAAAGCAGCACAAATATTTACGTATGTATGTATATAACTAAACGAAGCAATTAAAGTTAATCAAATAAGCCATTAAATTTATTTTTACTCTATAAATGCACAAACATGCAATGCCATTAGTCTAATCAGACGACGACAGATGCATATTTGGTCGGAAAATGGCAGAGCAATGCAATGATGATATCACAGAGAGAGTGACAAACACTTGCCAAGAAAATTTTGTAAACGATGACATATCGGTTGCGAATTGCTGGCGCTCTGGTAAACTGTGAGTTTATATGTATGTAAATACATATGTATGCACATTTGTATGCAAATATGTACATACCAACATAAATGTATAAGATTGTACTTAATTGTTTATTTAAATTTGTGTAGCAGATACAAATTATTTATTTGTAGTTTGCGCTTAATTGTTTACCTTCCTACAGATATGGATGCCTTCTTACGAGCACACTGCCAAATTATTATACTTGTATGGTTTGATCGATAATAAACAGAAAGTTGCGGCATGAGAAGAGTCCGTAAAAGTAGGTAAGGAAGGGGAACAGAAAGGTAAAGTAAGCTTTGTTGGCAGAACAGTCAAAACAAGTCATAAATTTAAATCAAATACAAATAAAATACAACCAGGCTCAATGCCTTAAACATATTTTATTAAACTAATGAATGTACAAAGAATTACAGATGATGCAGATATAATGAATAATGGGTACATCTGGAACTATAAGTATCATCTTCAATCAGATTTATTATTGATAGCTGTACATTTAAAAGCAACTAAATACGTGGTATGGTTAAGAGCACATCCAAGTCAAAAACGAAAGCTACATGCTAAGAAAAAAATATCGATAGCAAAATCGTAAAAACTTCGATGTCAAAATCGATAACAATATCGATAACAAAATCGATAATAATATTGATAGCAAAATCAATAACAATATCGATAAAAATTTCGATAACTAAATCGATAAAAAATATCGATAACAAAACCGATAAAATATCGATTATTATATCGATAAGTCCTGAGAATTCCGAAAATCTTTAAAATCCCGAAATAGTCCCCATATTGAGTCTCTGTCTAATCTTTGTGTAATCTTTGTTAATCTATCTTCATCTTTACCTTTATCGGTATCTTCATCCTCATATTTTTCTTTATATTTATCTTTGTTTTTACTTTTATGTTTATCATATTCTTCATCTACATATTCGCCTTCACCTTTGCCTTTTATAAATATTACGCAGCCGAAATACCTAAACACATATACTTTTTGTCTCCTTCTCGCACTTCCAGCGCATGCACGCGTTTGCAAAATGATGACGAAGTGATTTTGTATGGAAAATTATTTATGCCCATATATTTGAATCAAATAAACATACTTAGAAGATATCAACCAATGCTTGCCATATACCAAATGAAAGGAAATATCTTGATTAAATTTTTGATTAAAGAAAACACAAGTAATTTTTAGCAAAAAAAAAACGACATAAAAAAAAAATATATATATATATCTCATGTTCCAATAACCGGATCTAAACCAGCTTATATGGGACACTACCTCTGAGACACTACCTTTACGATGCAAAAAGAATTATCGAAATCGGTTGACGTGGTCCAAAGTTAAGCGGCATAGCATATATAAAAAAAAAATAAATAAAATATTCCAACGAACTGATAACCTCCTCCTTTTTTGGAAGTCGGTTAAAAAACAAAAACATTCGAGCGGTTTTCGAGCATTTTGGAAATAAAAAAAACTTGCTAATTTTTTCAACAATTTTTTGCATTAAAATGCTCAATATTTGTTGAACTTATGTATATAAAATTTGTACACGATAATATTTGACACAATTATTATTTTAGTTTAACTAAATTTGACTTTACAAACAGGTGGCAACCATCTTCGTAATATTTTCAAGCTAAAACCTTCTGAAATCTCTTTCGTCTGACTCCCTTATGGTGATACCTGTCTATTTTAATTACCTAATTCCTTTAGTTCAAATGGAATTTGATTTTTAAACAGTTGGCAACCTTCTACATGTAGTTAATATACATTTCGATTGATACACATCTCTTAATAATTCATTTAACTTAAAAAAAAAATTGAATATAATTTTTTAACAATATAATTTTTTAGCAGGTCGTAACTCTTTAAAAAAAAATAAACCTTCTATTGTCTACAGGTCAAGCTCTTTAATCTGACTCTTCATTTTTGAAAATAGAACGAATCGTACATATCTCATGGCACTGACAAAAAATGAAAAAATTATTTTATGCATTAGC